ATTGCCACACTTGAGTCCATCGATGCTGCCGCTTGGCCAGTCCATCTCGTTGGGGGTTCTTCCTCTTTTTCTCTGACCCTCCACCTTACCAAACATGATATCCTTCTCCAGTGACTCCTCCCTCCTGACAGTATGTCCGAAGTATGAAGGAGCACTCTGGCTGCACTTCTTCTAAAACAGATCTATTGGTTCTTTTGGCAGCCCATGGCACTTTCAATATTCTCCTCCAACACTATAACGCAAAAGCATCAATTCTTCTATGGTCTTCCTTATTCACTGTCCAGCTTTCACATGCATATGAGGTTACTGAAAATACCATGGCTTGGGTCAGGCACACCTTAGTCCTCAACTTGACATCTTTGGTCTTCAACAGTTAAAAAGGTCTCGTGCAACAGATTTGCCTAATGCAATACATCATTTGATTTCTTGGCTGCTGCTCCCATGAGTGTTGATGGTTGATCCAAGAAGAATGAAGTCCTTGACAACTTCAATCTTTTCTCCATTGTAAGAATGTTGTTTATTGATCCAGTGGTGAGGATTTTTGTTTTCTTTACATTGAGATGTAATCCATACTGAAGGCTGTGCTCTTTGATCTTCATCAGTAAATGTTTTAAGTCCTCTTCACTTTCAGTAAGCAAGGTTGTATCATCTGCATATCTCAGGTTGTTAATGAGTCTTCCTCCAATCCTGATGCCACATTTTTCTTCACATAACCCATAGTGATCTTACAGCACCTTATATAGAATAAGAGATTTTCCTGGTTCAGTCTAGCTATTAAGTCCTCATACCTGTGGGATTTTGTATGTGTGTGTGAGAGAGTTTTGAGTATGTCTGCTTCTGTTTCTGCAGTTATTTTTAGGTTGAGTGGAGGGGTGGGAACCAATTTTCAAGTTGTAGCTCTTAAAATCTAAAAGTTTCTTAAATTTGACAGTGACTATAATAACCTTGTTGTTTTTGTTGTTGTTAAGTGCCATCGAGTCAGCTCTGACCCAGAGTGACCATATGTAGGGTTTCCGAGGAGCAGCTGCTGAGCTTGAACCGCCGACCTTGAGCTCTTAAAATGCTGATTCCCAGCCCTCACACCCAGAGGTTCTAATGTAGCAGAATCCTGGTGGTGTAGTTGGTTGTGTGTTAGGCACAAGGTCAGCAGTTTGGATCCAGCAGCAGCTCTGTGGGAGAAAGATGAGACTTTCTGCTCCAGTAAAGATCGGCAACCTCAGAAACTGTACACAGAGGGTGACTATGAGTCAGAATTGATTCAACAGCATACCACCACCACCAAGTTTCGTTTTGTTGTTGTTCTTTAGTGCCCTCCAGGCGGTTCCAACTCATAGTGACCCTGAAGAGGGTTTCCAAGAAGTAGCTGGTGGATTTGAACTGCAGACCTTGCAGTTCAAACCAAGTTTGAGGTCCAGTGTAAGGAAATCAATATTGTATTTTTTTAACTATCCCAGGTGATTTCGATATTAGAATTTTGTAATCTTTCATATAGAAAACACTGTTTCCATAAATTAGGATGTTTTCCATAATTTCATTCATTATTACGGAACCCTGGTGGCACAGTGGCTAAAGTACTCAATGCTAACTGAAAGGTCAGCCGTTCAAACCCACCAGGTGCTCTGTGGCCATTTGCTTATGAAAGGATTTAGAACCTTGAAAACCCTATGGGGGCAGATCTTTCTGCTCTTTCCTCATGGGGTCACTATGAGTTGGAATTGACTCCATGACACTGGGTTTAGTCAGTGAGTGTTAGAATATTTTTCTATTCCTCGGAAGGAATCACAGAACTTTCAGAGAGAGAAAAAAAAACGATTAGTTAAAATCTACCACCTTGGGTTACTGCAGCCTCAGGAACTGAAACACCATCATTAGCACCACAACTATCATCTAAAAGCATTTAAAGATCAGTATGTGTTGCAGGGAGTCCTGGTGTGGCAGTATAGATAAGCACTGGACTGCCAACCACAAGGCCAACGGTTCAAACCCACCAGCTGATCCTTGGAAACCCTATAGTGTGTGGCTAAGAGTTGGAACTGTCTCGACAACACTTAACAACAACAACAACGTGTTGCAATGAGCAACTCAAGTTTCCAGAGATTGATCTAAGTCTGAACCTCACATGTGTGGACTGCATCACTGAGCTAGGAATCACAGTTCCTGCTCTCCACTTATCTATGCCACCTGAATAAGTCAGTTAGCCTCTGTGAGCCTAAGCTGTAAAATGGGGCTAATAACGCCTGCCTTTTCTATTGACTGTGAAGTTCAAATGCAATAAAAGACAAGAAACTGCTTTGTAAACTGTAATGTATGATTCATAAGAAGGCAAGGGAGTTTTCTAAACATGCAATCGAAGACAGACAGGTTAGCAGAGAGTTTATCCGGGACTCTACTTGTTTTGCATGATGAATGATGATGACGTGGAAGTCCACGTAGGTGGGCTGTTTTTGCCAATTGTGCAAATGGATTTATGCTCACCTTTCTACACCCTGCCTCTCAGCTTCTCTGTCCCTGACTGATCAGGGGTAAAGAGAGCAGGACAGATGACATGCTACACCAAACCATGGGGCAACAGAGAGAAACTGTTCTTACATCATATGTAGGTCAAAGTTAAGTGTGAAGGTGTGTGTGTGTGTGTTCCAAACTGGGTAGGGTGGGTGCAAACATATCCCTGAAGACAGTGGAGTCCTCAGAGCAGCTCAGTTCGCTATGTAAACTAGTGAGAGGGAGGTAGGGAACAATGTAGACACAGACGCTGAGGCTGGAACTGGTGGGTGAGAAACCCACGGAACTCTGTGGTCTATCAGGTTGCTGTTGTTCCCACTTAATTAGTAATCGATGTATGTAATCAAAATGTATGGCATTCTCTTGATAAAAATGAACAAGAACAACTCACAGTAAGTAGTAGGTTCTAGATTCTTGGTTGTTGCAAAGTTACTTTACTGACCTTTCTCTAATGGCCCCTGAGGTAGGTGTTGTTATCCCCATTTTACTGAAGGGGAAACTAAGACTTACAACAGCTAAGTAACATGCTTGAAAGCCCATCAGACAGCAAGTAATTATATGCAAACTGTATCCAAACCCCAATTTTCTGGTTGTTGTTGTTGTTGTTAAGTGCCATCGAGTCGGTTCCGACCCATAGCGACCCTGTACAGGGTTTCCGAGGGTGTAAATCTTTACGGGAGTAGAAAGCCTCATCTTTCTCCCGCAGAGCGGCTGGTAGTTTCGAACCTCTGACCTTAAGGTTCGCAGTCCGATTCGTAACCACTAAGCTACCCTCTTCTATACACTGCCTTGTTTATTATGTACCTCTTGGCCCCAGCTTTCAGAAACTCTGTGTATGTGTGTGTGTTGAGACAAGGGAGCCTTTGGGTTGTGTTTTTCTGCTTTAAAAAAAGATTTACACTCACAGAATTTCCAAGACCGGAAAAGACCTTACAGGCTTTTTGTGAAGACATAGAATCAATCTTTGACCCATGGGAAAGTGACTCTTCCAATATCCCCCATGTAGATTTTGGTGTCTCAGTTAAACTGAGGGTCTTCGGAGTCCTTCTTTGCATCATTCTGCGCTACTTCTCTCCACAGGCGGGTCAGGAGAAACGAAGACCCTCAATCCGATGGACTGACAGTGACTGCAACAATAAACTCAAATATACCTATTAACATGTGGATGGCACAACCGGACATTTTTGTTCTGTAACGCATAGGGTTGCTATGAGTTGGGGCTGACTGGATGGCACCTAACAGCACCACCTCCCACTCTTGCTCTGTACTCATCCTGAGAGTCAGGAAGCCTTTTGTCTAGATAGATCTATGCCAAAAATAATAGCTACTCTGTTCTGAGCACTCATTCTTCAATAAAGACTTACTCGACAGCACACAACAACAACAACAACAACAAAGGGCCTTTGGGAACAAGCTGAACAAGACGCTGCCCCGCCCTCTGGAGTTTACAACGCTAATGGGGGAGGCTGAGCAGTAAACCGTTTTAAAACAATCATTTCAGATGCTGGAAAGGAAATAAAACAGCAGGTAGGATTGGGGATTTTAGAAGCAGTGGTCAGAAAAGCCAGTCTTTAATTCTCACAATAACCTTTAGAGACTACGGGCATACTCCGTTTTGCCGCTAAGAAAATTGACGTTCAGAAGTGGTCAGAGTGGCAGAGCTAAGTCCCAAACAACTATAACCCCTCACTTCCTTCCAGCCCCTATTGAGCGGCCGTTGCTACCCTCTGGCTTTGGATGATGAAACTCTGGGCGTGAACTGCACCATTTAGCAGGCCACGTCCTTGCAGGTGTGGGAGTGGTAGGGTTGCAGCTCCACAGGAAACTCAAATAACCTCAATTTGCTGAAGGAACTGAGATGACAGCCTCTGGCCATCCCCTACCGGACTGTTCATCTCTATAGTCAAGACAAAGAGTCCGCCTAATGCTCCCGCCTCTTACCAGGGTTCCTGCCTAGCCTCCTACCCCGCCTGGTGCTCTGGCTTCTACCCAGCCCCCTGCCTGGCCCCGCCCAGACTTCGCGAGGCTCTGTGGGAATTGTAGTTTTACAGTTCTTCACACTAGCTCCGAGAACGAACAGGGGAACTACGAAGACCAGAAGCCAGTATGCAAGCCCGGGGCTGACTCGCCAGCAGTGGGTGTGCGAGCGCAGAGGGTCGGGCGGTTCGGGCGCCGGGATGCGGCTACGGGCGCTGGAGCTGGGAAATAGCTTTGAGCGCGCGTGCTAGCGGAGTACGGCGAGGGGCTGCCAGGCCGCGACAGGCAAGTTGCATACACATTCCTCTAGGAGCCCTGACTGACCGGCGGTCCAGCCACATCTTGCGCAGTGAAGGGTCCCGGTCGCCGGGAGCCGAGCACCAGCCGGGGTGTCAGGCTGGCACAGCTCTCTAAGAGTCCTTATCTGAGCTTGGGGAGAACCGGGTGCCTGCCTCCGGCTGTGCGCGACGTGATTGTTCTTTTCCTTTTTTATGCCAAGGTTTCGCTGGGCAAGTGACACGATGCAGCGGGCAGCGGGGCTGGTTCGGCGGGGCCGCTGTCTCCAGGCTGCGGGCCCCTGGAGCCGAAGTCAGAGCAGCGTGGCCGCTGAGGCCTCGGCTGTGCTCAAGGTGCGGCCCGAGAGGAGCCCGCGCGAGCGCATCCTCACGCTCGAGTCCATGAACCCTCAGGTGAAGGCTGTGGAGTACGCGGTGCGGGGACCCATCGTGCTCAAGGCCGGGGAGATCGAGCTGGAATTGCAGCGGGTGAGCGCCGGGGCCCAGGAGTAGGGGAGGCTAGGGAACCTGATGAGAAAAGCGGTATTGTCCTTCACAGGGGTTCGACCACTGAACTTACCCAGCCGCATAGTCAGCTCCGTCATTCTGCCGAGTCTGGCTAAAACAAGAGTACACGTCTCCCCTCCCTGCACTCACTTGTTATGTGCCGTGAGGTCGGTTCCGACTCATAGCGACCCTGTACAGGGTTTCCGAGGCTGTAAATCTTTACGGGAGCAGAAAGCCTCATCTTTCTCCCGCGGAACAGCCGGTAGTTTCGAACTGCTGACCTTGAGGTTCACAGCCCGATTCGTAACCATTACGCTACCTGCACCCATTAGTACCTTTAAATGCGGTTCACTTGTTGAATTAATCCGTTATCATTGAGTGGACATGGTGCCAGTCGCTGCGCGTTACGTGGCTGCCCTGCCCGGCTGGAATTAAGATCCGGAAGGGGGTGAAGGTGAAACACAAGAAGTCAGTTAAATTTTTTTTAAAAAGTTGCAGGTAGTGAATTGATGCTTCGAAAAACTTCAAACGAATGAGGGGTTGAGCCACTGAGGAGTATTGAGTATGCAGGAGAGCCCCTCACAGCTCCTTGAGGAACTCAGCCATATCTTGTTCTTTCCCCGTGAGGACAGAGACCTCTCCTGCAGTGTGTAGTTTGGAGACTTAGGCCTTTGGGGTCTTGATTAAGAGGCGCTGAGACTTTCTTCATCTTCATGGCTGGCTGGCTGGGATCTTGGCTTGAGTTCATAACTGCACCCAAAGTGACCACACAGCCTGCAGTGGTTTCTGCCTCCTGTCAACCAGGTGGCTGTGGTGGGTATAAAAGATGGCTTCTGGGATACCAGAGTTCACAGCTGGGTGGAATTTAGGAGGCAGAGTTAAGAGGGGTTATTTTAAAAAGTAAACACTCTTAAGACTTGTAAGAAGCTGATGATATAGTCACCCAGCTGCTTGCTCAAAATAATGACCCAGAATAATGTGGTGGTGGTGGGAATGCTCCTTGATCTTAATGCTCAGAGACACCAGATCCTGGTATTTCCAGGACAAGATGGTCACTTAGTGTCCCTTGAAGGCCTTGGCAGAATCCACGATGAACAATTGACCCTCCCTCCCACAGGGACATTGAGAATGTGATAAGATCATGGTTTGCTGATTCTTCATTGGGACACTCAGTTTTGCTGACTCAAAACAGTGATCTGGACAAGTCAGAGTCCGATGGCTCCTGCTGGCTCCTTGCAGTGCTAAGTTTAAAGATCGGTTCTATTTCTGCACTTCCCTAGTCTAGAGCTGGGGTAGGGTACATTTTTTTCCCCTTTGTTCCTTGTTGACATCTGGCAAGCTGGAACTGGTCCTCCTTGAGGCAAAGGTTCCCTGGTAAACTGGGATTAAATTGTTCTTGGTTTTTCACTTTATGAATGATTTCTCCAGTTCCAGAGCTGGCAGGTTTCCAGGGATTATCCAAGCTTTGGCTAAATTACAACTTCAGTTTAGGGCTGTGTTTGACTGAAGGGGGCTGATTGCCATATTGTTCTCCAGACCTGAGCCCCCCATCCCTTCCCTGCCCCCAATTCTTTAAGGACTGGTGGGAATTTTTAGCAGACAGAGACAATGTGAACACATGCTAGATGGGATCAGTGCTGTTAGTTAAGGTAGGAAGTTGTGGGCTTTTGGGGAAGGGGGATGGTGCTGTGTGTAGGTCACTGTGTGGTAGATGTGAGAGATGAGGGAGATGGAAATGGTGAACAGGGCTCTTGTGTGCTGTACTCAGGGCTTTATGGTGTGTTTTTGTGGCAAGTGGGGAACCAAGACAGGGTTTTTAGGGTGTGACTCGATGTTTTCAGGTAGGTGAATTCCTTGGTCGTTTGGGCCAGAGACATCCCCATGTTCCACTCCCAAGTTAGTCAAGAAGTTCTTTCTGTCCACATGCATTCTCTGTGCCGTCTTAGTTTTCCAGTGCTGCTACGACAGCAACATGGATTGACACATTTAATAAACCAATTTCTTCTCTCACACTTCCAGAAGCTGGAGATCTGAATTTAGAGCACCAACTTGAGCAAGGAAGGCATTCTTGAACTAGAGGAAGGTCCTTGTCTCCTTTAATCATGTCTGGGCCTGGACTTCCTTGGTGAGCTCCATATGTCTCGTCACCAGTCTTCCCCTGAGTCTAGGAGGTTCTCAGTGCAGGGACCCAACCCCAGGTCGAAAGAATGCACTCCACTTCTGACTCTTCTTTCTTGATGTACTCAGGTCCCTCTCTCTCTGCCTGCTTCTCTGTCCTCTTACCTTTAATAAAAACAAAAGGTGATGAAGATCCCACTCCCAGGAAACACCCCTTACATTGGACCACACCTGTGACCTGAATAAAAGGGTGTCGCATCCCCTAATAACTGATTGGATGATCGCATCTGATCACATCATGGGGCAAGATTACACTGTTACATAATTACTAAATTACCTCATTACACAACTACCAAACCACTGAGATTCATAGCCAAGTGCAAGTGTTTTTGGGGAACACAATGTAGTCATTCAGAGAGTGTTTCTTCTCATTCTTGCTCTTTTCTTGCTTTATGGAGTCTCGTCGGTCAACTCTAGGTTCTCAACCACCAACCAGTTACCAGTTGTTGTGGATGACTTATAGCAGTCCCATATGTTTGAGAGTACAATTGTGCTCTGTAAGGTTTTCGGTCAATGGCTGATATTTCAGAAGTAGACCACCAAGCCTTTCTTCCAAGATGTCTCCAGGTGGACTTGAACCTTCAGCCTTTCAGTGAGCAGCTGAGTATGTTGACTGTACCTATAAGCCTTTACTTCCTAAGGAGACACAACCCCTCTCCACTGTCCTAGCTTAAACAAACAATGCCTTTTCTGAAAAAGTCATAGTTTCCAAATCTTGTCTTTTTTTGAGTGGAGTCCTTGGCTTCAGTTTTTCCACCTCTGTTTAGAATTGTGATCAGAATTAGACTGATACTGTTAACTCACTTTACTGCCACTGAGTCGGTTTTTACTCCTAGTGACCCTCCCTAGGGTTTCCAAGACTGGTAAATCTGGGCAGGAGCAGACAGTCTTCTCCTTCTTCCACAGAGTGCCTGGTGGGTTTGAACTGCCGACCAGCCATGTGGATAGCAGCCCACCACCTAACCCACAGCCCCACGAGGGCTCCTTGGACTGATATTATAAGGGGTTCAGTTATGTTGGAGATGGGATGGCCAAGGGCTTATAGATAGCAGATTGCTTAGGATGAATCCCACATCCTCTCTGGGCCTCCGTTTTTCTAGTCTATGAAAGGAGAGAAGGCTGGGCTCTGTGCAAGCGTGTCCTGGGGCAGCTGTCCCAGCCCCTGGTGGAACCATGGCCTTTGTGCTGCCTTCTTTATGGGATCATGTCACCAAGTCCTCTGCAAACAGAACCGGCCATTTAGCTGGACACGTGGTGTTGGTGCTTGACTTTCGGGTGGCTTGTCCTGTCCTTGCGCCTCTGACAGGAGTGGAGAATGCTCAGGTGAAGCTGGGTGAACAGAGGTGATGGGCTTAGTGGGTGTGAACAGGGTGGTCTCTTCCACCAGCCTCCTCCGTGGCAGCAGCTCCAAGGAGGAGAACCTAGCTTAGCTTTTTGCTTTTCAGATCTTAGGCTTCTTGGATGTTCATTGGAAGCAGCACTTAAAAAAAGCTGCCATTAGTAGGAGTTTTGAAAAGATCTGTCAACTCTTCTTCAATCTGCTGCTTTTTCTCTTGCTTTATTGGTGGTGGGGTAAGGGGTGGAATAGAGACAGGGGAATGGCTTTACTTTTTCCAGTTGTAAAAGTAAACACAGAGCAAGACATTCAGAAAAGGGGACACTGATTAGCATTGTTATCATCAGGGTGTATTGCATCCAAACAGGTAATGTTGAGGGCAGCAGAGCACAGTGCTGTGTAGCACTGTAGGATAAGCACTTGACCGCAAGGTCAGCGGTTCAAACACACCAGTTGCTCCTCGAAACCCTATATAGCAGGGTCGCTATGGGTTGGAACTGACTTGATGGCACATAACAACAATAAGAAGATTGGATGGAACCAAGCACAAGTAGTAAAATCTCATTGGTCGTTTTCTTTGAAGTTTAAATGCTACTTTAAAATAAAGAAATTTGTTAAGTAGGTTTCTAGTGGGAAGAAAAAAACCTTGGTGACATAGTGGGTTAAGTGTTGGGCTGTTAACTGCAAAGTCAGCAGTTCTAATCCAACAGAGAAAGATGAAGCTGTCTCCCACCGTGAAGGTTTACAGTCTTGAAAATCCAAGGGAGCAGTCCTACTCTACCCTGTAGGGTTGCTATGAGTGAAAACCGACTCCGTGGCAGTGGGCCTACACTGTGGGGAGAACCCACTCTGCATAAGTCACCACAGTCTTGCCTCCTGGACTCTGCCTATCTATGCTCTGGGCCTCAGTTTATGCTTCTACACAATGGGCCCAATTGGCTTGAAATGTCAGTGATCAGACTTTGAACTGCTAATAGCCAATTCGAACTCTAGGAATCTTTGTTTTCAAGCAGTTTCAAGAGGTCTCCTATGATGACAGTCTAAGGGTCCCTCTTTACATTCCCTCCTCCAGAGTCTCCATGGGTCTGGGACCCATCTCTGTTCTGACCTGAATGATCTTGCTTGGAGCTCATTCAGATATCATCTCTGCTTCTGCCTTGGAAATCTTGGCTTTTCTAGCTGGCCTCTGATTTCAGGGTCTCCATCCTCTCAGAACCTATGTCCATCCTTCCCTGCTTGGGTGGTTAGGACACTTGGCCCTTGGAGCTCCCACTTAATCTCTTCATCATGCGTGTGTACAACTAGAGATCTGGTTTCTTCCCCAATGCTCTATACCAGACCCTGTGCTAAGCCTGAGTTTCTTCAGCTGGGAGTTGCAGCTGTCTCAGGGAATGTGGGATTGAGTTGGGGCTTATCTCTGGGGCCTCTTTCTAGAGCTCTCTATGGCTTCCTGCCTGCCCTAGTTCCCATCCATCATTCCTTTTGGGTTAGGGACCTCAGGGCCTTTACACAATGATGTTCCTGTTGTGCCCCTTTCACCAGACTCACTTACTCTTCACCAGACTGGTTTGCTCAGTTGGGTGGCTCACGTTGTCACTGGGGTCTGGTGTTGAATGAGAGGTAGTGACTCTGGGAGTAACCATTCCACCCAGCCTTCCTGCCTACACGTCACATGGATGACAAGAAGCATCATGAGGAAACGTGTGCTGTTAGGATCATCCATCTGCCCTTTAATCCTCATGTGGTAATCCTGGACCTGTGGGCTGGGAAGGAGGACAATGATAGCTGTTTCTTCCCCTGCTAAGCACCCTCTGAAGGGGGCAGTGGTGGTTCTGTGGCAGAGTTCTTAACCAGCCATGTGGGAGACCTGGTTTGCAGTCTCGGCCAAGGCTCCTCAGGTCCAGCCACCACCTGTCTGTCGGTAGAGGCTTGTGTGTTGCTATAATGATGAGCAGGTTCTATCTAGCACAGGTTCTAGGCTAATGCAAACTAGGTCTTAAAATCACCCTATGGATTACAATGGTCCTTTTTTGCAACCAACTATGGGAATGATGCTAGACTGGGCAGCATTTTGTTCTTTTGGACATGGGATCACACAAGTCCATGGCAGCTAATGACCATACCACCACCACCCTGTGAAATAGGCTCCCACTGGACCTCTACCCGAGCTGAGTGGTGGGTAGGGAGCCTCCCTGGGTAGGACATTTCTTAGCTCAGTGCCACACAGAGCAACAGTAGTGCTTGTTGGTGACCTAGCCAGCTGGGCTCTAGGATGCTGAGGCAGGAAACCTGATATGCTGACACTGTGTGCTTGTTAGTCTTTCAGAGCAGGCAAGACCCAAGATAGGGTTGAGGCGAGGTCAGGCCTGCATGAGTCACCACAGGCAGGAGTCTGCCCCTAGACCTTTGATATTACCCAGCCCATGTGTGGACCTTGAGTGACCAGATACACGAGTCTACCCAGATGGCCCTTGGCTGAGTAGGCTGGTCCCCTTGCTGCTTTTCCATTCAAAGTTTCCAGTTTCCCACCCTCAGCTCATCCATCATGGTAAAGTGTCTGCAGGTGCCAAGACCCAAGAAAAGATGTCCAACTTTCCCAGACTCCTTGTCAACAGGCCCTGAATTCGTTGAACCGTGGACCAGGGGAAGGAATGTCCAGAGCTCTGATCCTAACTTTATTCACACCCAATAATGAGCTGGCCAAGAGCCTACAGCTGTGTGTTGGTTAGAGGCCCTTGAGTTTGTGACTTATTTATTCCCTACCGAAGAAGGCACTGTGTCCATACCATAGAAATCACCTGCGTTCTGTTGGCCAGGCCTGGGAGCCACACCAAGCCAGTAATGCCGACAGAAAGCCCTGTATGTTCCAGGAACCCACTCCTGTGCCACAGGGCCAATCTGTGGCACATTGTGACCGGGCAGCTATCCACACCTCCAGCCCACTTGACTCCCACCGGCAGAATGAGCCCCAGGACCACATGCCCATAACCCAAGGCTCTGCAGGGAGCCTGTTCCCTGGCAAAGGGCCTGCTTCAGTGGACAGTGCTGGGGCCCTTGCTCTGGCTCTCCAAACTTAGATCCTCTTTCCCAATGCCCCTGGGAATCTCTTCTTGTTGACCAGCATGAAGAACTTAGTAGAAGGGATACAAAAAATTAAAAGACTCTCTTTCCCCTCAGAAACATAGCTTTTCAGACCTTGCCCCTGACTTGCTTCTGAATACCCAAGACAGTTCCTGGGGTACCTTCTCAACCCCCATACTGCCTTGCTCCAGAAGTGCTGATGAATTTCTACATGGGAGAGCTTACGAGTTGAAATCTCCTAGCGCTGTAGTTGGAAGCCTGGGATGGAAAGCTTGTTTTACAGTTGGTTCCATCTCTTAAATCCACTGGTTCTTGGATGTTGCTGACTTTATTTTTTTTAAAAAAGGGCATAGTTTTATAAAGCTGATTTCATTCACGCATTGCATGAACTAGAGAGAAAACTGTTCAAACCGTGGAATTGTATTTTAAAATTTCGTATTTGGAATGCCTTTGGGAAAAGTCAGCTAGAAATGGGGGGGTGGCTCTGTCACCTCTTGTCCCTTCCCTTTCTTCCTCCACCATGAGTCTCACAACCTTGTTGCTAGTCTGTATCTGTAAGATGATGTTTGTACTCTGCCAAGCAGTTTTATACTGTTTACTTCTGATAATCCTTTTAGCCGCCCTGGGAGGTCATTGGACCTGTTGCTAACTTGTGGCTAATTTGGGCTTTACCAGGGAGCTGGGAGGAATACCCACATAGGCAGATCTCACTAGTCTTTTTATCAAACCTCATTTCCTCCTCTGCAGGGCTGGAGCACCCTTCTGTCGCCTCTCAGGGGTCTCTGCGTTCCTCCTCCAGGGTGATCCCTTTTCCCTGCTAAACACACTGCTCAGGCAGTGGCCTCAATTTAGCTCTTCAATCAGTCCTTTCATCCTTGGTGCTTGTTTTTTTAAAAAATGTGAAGATCAGCCCACATTCTTCTTCCTGCAAAGCCAGAGTTGCAAGGGAACAGCCCCACGAGTTCCCTGTGCGTTGCTCAGTGTGTTCTGGGAGTGAGGTTGTACTCAGGTCTCCGGCCATGTATTTGTGCTGCTATGGTGGAGTTATGCTTGGGGGCGGGATGCAGAAGGCTGGTCACATTCCTCTCTCTCTGATGTTGGGCCTGTTCTGTTGCTGACCCCTGCTTCCTTCCTGCCGCATTTACCCAGGAGCCTTCGTTTAGACATCCCTGTGAAGCGGCGGTCCAGACCTGCATATAGGCAGCCAGGAAGGCTCTGCTAGCTGTTCTGGAGGTGGGAAGCAATAGCACATACTGAGTGTGTGACTTCTAAGTACTTATCACATATGTGACCTTGGGCAAGTTTCTTAATCTTTAGAGCTTCCATTTCTTCATCTGGAAAATGGGACTATAACAGTTCTTCCTCTTGGACTGATTGTGAAGATTAAATGGAATCAGATATGTCAAGGGCTTGGCACAGTGTCTGACACCTGGTTAGGCTCAAAATAGTGGTGCTTATTAATAAACACCCAGAGAATGCTGCGTGGCTTCAGGAATCCAGGGTCTGAGTGTCTCTATGTAACCACCTGTTGCCTTCTCTCTACTCAGGGTATTAAAAAACCGTTCACTGAGGTCATCCGTGCCAACATCGGGGACGCCCATGCCATGGGCCAGCAACCAATTACCTTCCTCCGTCAGGTGAGCTGGTGCTTGGGAGCAAAACCTGCTGGGAAAAGAGGAAACTGGAGGCTGGGAGGGCCCAGCATAGGGTTGTAGGGTCAGCCAGCTCCTCTCACCTCTGCTGCCCTGCTCAGCTGACCCTCTTGGGTCACAGCAGGCATCAGAATCCCAAAGGGAGGTGCCGTTTAAGTAGCGGTCTCCCCCTCCCTTCTGTAGTGTCCCATACCCCAGATTTCTCCTGGAGATTCCTCCCTTTTCTAAGGTTATTGAAAATTCCTAAATCCATTTTGAGGCTGCTGTGACGGACAATGTTCCCAGGGACTGTCCATGAGAACAGCCCTGGGACATGGAGTTCGGAGCTGGTCAGCAGTGTGAGGCTGCAGTCGAGGCTGGTACTGGTCTGAGGTGTGTCCACCATGCTCACTTCCCTTCTTCCTATGGCCAGTGTCACTGACCCCCAAGAGCATACTAGCTGCCACAGAAATCAAGTCCCCAAGTGGGGCCCAGAATGGGGAACTGGATCAAACCAAACAGGGAAGAAGAGGAGGCTGACAGGGCTCTCCCAGGGTCTCACTTATTGAGGAAGGACATGGCCTTTCTTGGCAGAGCCCTCACTGTCCCTGGGCACAGAGCACGGACAGGCCCTGCTGCCTTAGCTTCCGGTCTGGAAGGCCGTTTCCAAATTCAGCCCCAGCGGCCAGGCAGGCACTGCTTCTCCTACATGTTCTCCTACGGGAACTCCCAGGCCTTCTCGTAGCATCTCTGTTCTGCCCAGTACCTGGGAGGGGTTGGGCAACTGCCCGTTGTGCAGATGGATACAAGCTGGGTGCCTCCCCAAAATTGCCCAGCTGGGTGAGAGCCCTGAGCCTGGCCCCTCTGCTGTGCCTACACAGACTTGCCCACTGAGCTGAGCTGACTATACCTTTGCACATACACCTTTTTTAATCATGATTAAAGAAGGGAAGCAGACCCGGTTTTGGGTTCTGATAAGGAAGGGGGTGATGAGGTAGAACCCAGGAAAAGGGAGTTGGGAGCAGAATGAGCTGTGAGGACTAAAGGGACTTGCATTCCTGCTCTTACCAGCTGGGGTATCCCTGCCTGGGAGACCCCTGGTTCTTACGGCCTTGCAGGGTGAGCCTGCTGTCCTTTATGGAGGAGTTTGGGCCTGGGACTGATTCATAGCCTCCCTATGCCCCAGGACTCTGCTTCTGGCATGCATCCTTGGTCCCAAACCCTGCCTGCCCGAGGAGTGGTGATAGTTCCTAGCCCCCCACCTTTCACCTGTTGGCTGTAGGGACTCTGGTGTCTCAAGTTCCCCCTCAGGCTGAGCCCTCTAGAGAGGCTTGCTGACCTCGTGTCCACACCTCTGTCCCCCCAGGTGATGGCACTGTGCACCTACCCTGACCTGCTGGACAGTCCCAGCTTCCCAGAAGACGCTAAGAAACGTGCCCGGAGGATCCTACAGGCGTGTGGTGGTAACAGCCTGGGTGAGGCCCCCACTTGCCCAGTCCCGTAAGGTGTGGTGGGAGTGTCCCAGCTTGAGCTGAGCCAGCAGAACACAGGGTGATGCGTGTGCCCCTGCATGTGTGCACCGGCCTTCCCAATGCTTAGCTGATCATGTAAAGACAGTCTTTATGGACTGACCAGGGCACTTATTTGGGGTTTAGGCCTTGGAGCCAGCTTCAACAGAGGACTGCCATCTGTCTGAGTGGAACCTTTAACCACGTGATTGCCCTCAGCAGCAGGAGGCTGAAGGGGACACTGATTCAAAGGGGGCACAATTTTGTTCAGTGCCCGCCCCCTGGGTGGCCTTCAGCATACCTCCAGGCAGTCAGGGGGGCATTGGCCAACTGTTGGGAAAGAGAAGTGCTTGAGTCCACCCTCCCACTTTTTTTAAATTTAGAATTTATTTTGAATTTCATTGTTGTTACGTGTCATTATTAGGGAGGGATGGATAAAAGGTGAGTGAAGAACTTTATTTTATAACTGATTTTTTAAATTGTAGTAGATATAGTTTTAACAAAGCATTTGACATTTCAACAATATTCCCATGCAGTTCAGTGACATTATTATGTTCATGTTCAACCCTCACCCTCACCCATTCCCAAACTATGCCATCACCCTCACCTCCTAAGTACTGAGGATTCTGAGCTCTCTTTTATGATTCCCTCCAGTCTAAGTCCACCTTCCACTCTACTGACTTCCCATCAGCCTCTGCTGGGGGCCCACATCCAGCTCCAGCTCCCTGTCTCTTTACCCAGCATGCCAAACATGGGAGGGCCCCATTGATGGGGTGGGGGGTGGGGGAACCAGGAATTTAACCCTGCAGCTATGAAAACAATACTCTCTCCGTTCCCTGCTGAGATTTCCTAGCCTCTGGGCTCTTCCTTCTCTTCTCATTTTCTTTCCTCTGTTTATTTTTGCCCCATTTCTTCATGAAGCACCTACACCAGGAATCCAGCTCCCCTCACCCAGAGGAAATGAGTTGTTCTTAAAAGCTTTTTAAGGACATATGCCCTAATGTTCTGGAATGAGGCACTGGGAGATGAGGATCAGCCTCTCTTTCATTTCCTTGCCTCTTCTGCTCCCCTCTTCCTTTCCTGCCCTCCCCTCAGCCCTGGGCATTCTTAGTTAGTTGTATCCCTTCAGAAATGGGACAACCTGGGTGTATGTAGGCTAATTCTTTAAACCACAGGTGGTCAGGCAGCAGCCCTGCAACCCCAGAGGCTCAGCACCCTCTGCTCAGCCCTGAGGGGAAAGGTGCTTTTCAAAGGTCCCATGGCTGGGGTCCCCAGACTCCTAGAAGCTCCAATCAAGAGGCTGGAATGGGGGAGTTGGCCTTCTGTGTGTCTGATGTGAGCATCTGGGTGGGGGAAGGAGCAGGGGCTCTTTGTTTCTTTGTGCTGAGTCAAAATCAGCAAGTCTTTGCAATAGCGCCAGTCAGAGCTTCCTGAGTCCAGGGTGGGAGGCCATGCTTTTGTGAGTCACCTCTGACGGTGTTTTAGTTAGAGCACAGATGATGGCCTTTGGGGGTTTTGTGACCCGCACCCAGGAGCTCTGTCATAGGTGAGATGGGCTCTTAGCCTCTTCTCATCCGAGACATAAGAAGAAAGGCAGGTGGTAACGCTTAGGTCTAGAGAAGCTTAGGTCTAGAGAAGCCCTTGACGTGGACGTGGTCCCGTCCACGTCAAGGGCACAGTTGTCTGAGCCAAGTGAAGTCAAAGGAAATGGAAAATGACTATCCTTTAGGGCTGCCTTGACCTAGGTAGGGATTATTAAAAATGTGCACACAAACCCGGGGCCTGTTTTTATCATGCCTTTTAAGGTGGTTTCCTACTGCGGTTTCATTTATGTTTTCAGTTTGACAGGTGCTCTCATGGTGTCTCAGTTCTTCAATAGGATTGAAGCAAAGCCAAGCACATACCTGAGTGAGGAGGGAGGGGTTTGCCCTGGTCCAGCCCCTCAGTGAAGAACCACTGTTGTAGGTGCTGAGGGATACTGAACCAGGTGGGCGGGGCTCTCTACTCACAAAGCACACTGTTAGATTTAGGGGAAAAAAGCCTTAAAAAGAATCCATACAAATATAGAATCCCCACTTTTAATGAGTGCTATGGGAATATAACAAGGGGTTTTCATGTTGCTGTTAAGTGCCATCTGGTTGATTCCAACTCATAGCGAACCTATATTGGGTTTCCAAGGCACAGGTGGTGAGTTTGAACCACCAACCTTGTGATTCAAACTGACCTTGCATTTCAGTGCAGTACCATCAACTCAGTTCCGATTTATAGCAGCCCAGCACACAACAGAACAAAATAGTGCCTATCCTTCACCATCCTCAATTGTTACACGTGGGTTCATTGCCACTGCCACTGTGCAAAGCCATCTCAGTGGGGGTCTTTTCCTTTTCTGCTGACCCTTCATTTTACCAAGCATGATGTCCTTCTCCAAGGACTGGTCTCTCCTGATAGTATGAGAAACGAAGTCTCGCCATCCTGGTTTCTAAGGAGTATTCTGGCTGTATTTCTTCTAACACAGGTTGCACTTCTGACTGTCCACAGTACTTTTAATATTCTTCTCCAACTTCCAAACCATAACTCCAATGCATAAAGTCTTCTTTATTCATTGTCTAACTTTGATATGCATATGAACCTATTGAAAATACCATGGCTTGAATCAGGCACACCTTAGTTCTCAAACTGATATATTTCCTCTTGAACACTTTAAGGAGGTCTTATGCAGCAGATTGGCCCAGTGCAACACTTCGTTTGATTTCTTGACTCCTGCTTCCATGAGTGTTAATGGTTAATCTGAGCAAAATGAAGTCTTTGACAACTTCAATTTTTTTTTACCATTTATATGGATGTTGTTTATTGGTTCAGTGGTGAAGATTTTTGTTTTCTTTACGTTGAGGTACAACCCATACCAAAGGCTGTAGTCTTTGATTTACATCAGTAAATACTTTAAGTCCTCTTCATTTTCAGCAAGCAAGGTTGTATGATCTGCATATTGCAGGTTGTTAATGAGTCTTTCTCCAAAAGGTGAATGATTACAACCTGGCGCACACCTTCCCTGGTTTCAGTGTTGCCACCTTGTTCTGTTTGAACATCTGCCTCTTGGTCTATGTACAGGTTCCTCATGAGCATAATGAAAAGTTCTAGAATGCCCCTTCTCCACATTGTTATAAAATTCAAAAGGTATAAGAGGAGTATAAAATGAAAAATCTTCCATGTCTGGCACCCACTCTCCTGGTTCACAAACCTCACCAGTTTGAGCCTCCTTCTAGAAAGGTTTTGTGTATGATCAAGCACTAATTCTTTATAAATACATAAATGGTGACCTGACATTTAAAAAAATGAAACAAAACACTTTTTATTGAGGTTAAGATAAAATACAAAATATTAATGGTCAGCTTAAATAATGTTTACCCATGTGCACACCTGTGCCGCCACCACCCAGATCCACACAAGTGAATGTTCCCAGCTCCCTGGGGGCTTTGTGTCCACTCCAGTTAATGAACCTTCCTCTTCTGCCCCCTAACTAAACACTGATTTCTAGCACCATAGATAAGCTTTGCCTGTTTTCGAACTTCATGACCTGACTTTTTACCCCAAATAGCAGCCTGAGTGAGGGTGTTGTTGACATGTAGGGGGAGTCCAGTAGCTCCAGCAGTCTGTGGTTGGTGATGGTCAACACTGGGGTTCTGGGATTAAGCATGCCTTTTTGGAGCACTAAGGGTTGACACAAGTGAGAGACCCATATCTCAAGTTCTGTGAAACCATGAACAAACAATGAGGACATGACAAAAGCATAGGAATCCCATCTGATAGGGTTTCTAAGGAGCACCTGGCGGGTTTGAACCTCTGACCTTTGCAGTTTAGTCCTTATCCTATAGTGCCACCCCAGGAGAACATTTGTTGTTGTTGTTGTTAAGTGCCATCGAGTCGGGTCCGACCCATAGAGACCCTGTACAGGGTTTCCGAGGGTGTAAATCTTTACGGGAGTAGAAAGCCTCATCTTTCTCCCGCGGAGCGACTGGTAGTTTCAAACCGCTGACCTTAAGGTTCGCAGCCCGATTCGTAACCACTACGCTACCAGAGCTCCAGGAGAACATAGAGCATGTTTAAATCCCCAGGAAAGTGGACAAAACGGTTATTGGTTAGAAGCCAGTGCTAAGAATAGTGCCTGACATACAATTGGTACTGAGTAAATATTGGGGGCTAAACTGCTGTGTGGTGCTGTGGGCTGGACTGCAAGGTCGGTTTGAACAGCAAGGTTGGTGGTTCAAGCTCACCAACCATTCCTCAGAAACCCTATAGTAGGTTGTTTTGAGTCAGAACCGACTTGACGGCATTTAACAACAACAAGTATATGAGTAGATGGATGAACGGATGGGTACGTAGGTGGCTGGACGAGTGAATGAGCTGATGGGTACGTAGGTGGATAGACGAGTGGATGAGCTGATGGGTACGTAGGTGGATAGACGAGTGGATGAGCCTATGGGTACGTAGGTGGATGGACGAGTGGATGAGCCGATGGGTACGTAGGTGAATGGGTAGATTGGGTTGATGGATGGGTGGAGGGTGACCAGGTGGGTAGATGGATGGATTAGAAGATGAATAGATGAAGCCCAGATGGTTGGTTAAACAGAGCCTAGAGCAGTGGGAGTCAAGCCCTACCTGATGCCTCCCCAGTGAATCATTTGGACACCCCAGCAGCTCTGTGGAACCAGACCTTCTGCCTCTAGTCATGGTCTTGCTGTCTTACAGGGGCTTACAGCGCTAGCCAGGGCGTCAGCTGCATCCGGGAAGACGTGGCTGCTTATATCACCAGGAGAGATGGTGGCGTGCCCGCAGACCCAGACAACATTTACCTGACCACTGGGGCTAGCGATGGTATTTCGGTACGTGTGGGAACAGTGCAATGCCAGCTAGAGTAACCAGCCAGCAGGAAGATGAGGTCTGCATGGAGGTGTGGCTGCCCTTGGTTCCACCTGCCCTGGCAGCTGCTGCCCAGACCCCGAGTAGTGTTTGTGAGCCTGCACTACCAGTGCAGCCTCGACTTACCTTCAGAGTGCTCACTTGCAGTCCAGCTGGAGAGGGGCTATGGGGCTCTCGAGTGTGCCCCTCTGTCTGGGAGGTCCGTGGGGCCCTCGAGTGTGTCTGGTGGCGTTGGTCTTTCTTTTCCTTTGTTCGGCACAGACTTGTGTTCCTCCTCCGCCAGGCCCTGTGCCAGGTGCTGGGGGACCATGGGAGCCAAATACATTTGGTGTCTGCTTGCACACTAGTGCTGGAGCAAAGCTGCATCCGTCTCGCAGAAGTACAAGTCACATCACGGTTTTCAGCTTTCTCTTCCACAGTGAACACAGGGACATTATGCCGCAGGTGGGAACTCTGACCTGGTGGAGAGGAGACAGTCCGACCAGGCTTCTCCAAGGAGGCCGAGCAGAGGCCTGAGGGAGCCAGAGGAGAGAACTAGAGGAGGCGGGGGAGACTGTTCTGGGCAGAAGGTCAGCCTGTGTAAAGGCCTTGAGCTGGAGGGAGACTGGCTGTTTGGAAAATGAGAGTCGGGGTGGACAAGCACACACAGTGAGGATAGGGCTGCTAGACTGGGAGCTGGTGAGGCAGATGGGGGCTGATCCTCCAGGGCCCTGGATTTGGGTCAGAGCCATTGAAGGATTTAAAGCAGGAGGGTGCATCATTAGGCTTCTAGTCTTAAAGTTTAACTTAGGCTGAGAGAGGACATAGTGGGTGTTAGGAGCAAGAGAAGAAGTGGCTTGAGCTGGCTGCTAGCCATGGACAGAATGAACCAAACAAACTAATGGTGGCCACATGTGTGTCAGAGTAGAATTATGCTCTACAGGGCTTTCAACAGCTGATTTTTTCAGAAGTATTTCACCAGGCCTTCCTTCTGAGGTGCCTCTGGGCAACCTGAACCTCTAATCTTTGAGTTAGCAGCCCAGCTTGTTCACCATTTGCACCATGTAGGGTAGGGTGTGGCGCTACGGGATAATGTGCTAGACTGCAAGGTCAGCAGCTCGGACTCACCAGGTGCTCCTTGGAAACTTTATACAGGGGCACTGTGAGTCAGAACTGACTCAATAGCACTTAACAACGTGATGGCTGAAACTGCGGCTGCCTCAGCAGGGCCAGACCAAATGATTTTGCGAGCCTTATACGTCCCTGAGGGCCAGACGTTCCCCACCTAGGGACTCCATCTGAGTGAAGGGAGGTTGATATCTAGGTGAGTCTGAAGGTCTGGGCATGACCTTTCATCAGCTCCCCAAGCCTGGCTCCACCGCCTCACTGTTCTCCCTCCTCAGGTACTGTCTGAGCCCTTCTTCCATTAATGGGCCAAGCTTTGTCTCCTGGTCTCCAAAGGCTAGAATTGCTCTAGATTTTCATGTTTGTAAAATGTTTTATTCCTCTTCCAAAGCCTTTCAAATGCATTAAACTCATACTGGAGCTCATGAGGAAACAGGCTCAGAGAGGCTAAGTGGTCGGCCTGCTTTCTGTCAGCCTCTTGTGACACGCACTTGGGATTCTGATGTTGGAACTCCCAGCCTCCAGCCACAGCCTCCTTCCATGTGGGTGTGGGCACAGGTCCCAGAGGAAGGCAGGGAAGGGTCAGCATGGTTTAGAAAGAAGCAAGTCCCTTCTTTTCCTAGTGGCAGTCTCACAGCCAGGAACTGAGCGCGTCTGTGAGGAACTGCCTTAGTACTTCTGTGAATTATCACCACCTTCACCAATACCCACAGGATTCCCATGGCCTGGTTTCTCTGGACTTCTGTAAACCATGGGTGGGGAATGTCCAGCCCACAGGCCATCTAAGGCTTGTGCAATCATTTGGTCTGGCCCTGCCAGGGCAACCAGCCATCACTTTAAGAGTGAGTGAATTCAATGTTCGAGCAAACATAGCAGGATAATTTTTAAGTTGCTAATTTTGTTGAAATGGTGGTGGGTTAATGCACTGGACGGAAAACTCAGTTTGATCCACAAGGTTGGCGGTTCAAGCACACCAGCCTCTCCTTGGAACCCCTATACAGGGTCGCTATGGGTCAGAACCGACTCGACGGCATTTAATAACAACAATTTTGTATAATCACGAATGATGTATAAATATCCGATTGGCCCTTGGCAGAAAAAATTCCCCTCCCCTGCAGTGCAAACACTGGGCTCACTCAACTTTGGAAACAGGTCGAATCGCCACCTGGTGGCGGTAGTTGGTATTCAGTTTTTATTCCATTTCTGCAATTCCTTATTTGGGAGATTTACCCCAACTCTAGCATTGATATTTACTGGGTTCCACCAAGGTCGCGATGGGTCAGAATTGACTCGACTGCACTTAACAACAACCCAAGACATACTGAATGGGCTTCAGAGGATAGGGTCAGAATAATTCCAAGACAAGGCCAATTTGGGGCTCTACTGCTTTAGAAAGGAATTCTGGTAGCGTAGTGGGTTACAAGTTGGGTTGCTAACTGCAAGGTCAGCAGTTCTAATCTACAAGGTACTCTTCGAGGAAATGAGGAGGCTTTCTGCTCCCACAAGGATTTACAGCCTCAGGAACCCTAGACAGGTTCACTGTGAATCGGAACCAACTACACAGCACACCACAACCACCACTGCTTTAGAATGCCCCCAAATACCTCTTAAAAAATACTAACATGCACTTAACCACACACTGCTGAGAACTTTTATCACCTTTGATTTTGTTTACGCCTCGTCACTTGCCTTGAAGAAGTTGATTCTTTTCATTGCAACCCCATGTGTATCAGAGTAGATTTTTCCGGAGTCCATGACCAGGTCTTTCTGGGTGAGCCCAGACCTCCAGCCTTCATTTAACAGCCAAGTGTGTTAGCAGTTTGCACCAGCCAGGGTCTTAACAGACCCATTTTACAGATGAGGAGGCTGAGGCTCACGGGAGCAGACAGCAGGGCCATCTGGCTTGTCTTCCCATCAACCCCCAAGGAGCAGAGAGAGGCAGTCACAGTCTAAGTGTGTCTTCTCCTTTGCAGACAATCCTGAAGATCCTTGTCTCCGGGGGTGGCAAGTCCCGGACAGGTGTGATGATTCCCATCCCGCAGTATCCCCTCTACTCGGCCGTCATTTCCGAGCTTGATGCCATCCAGGTGAACTATTACCTGGACGAGGACAACTGCTGGGCTCTGAACGTGAACGAGCTCCGGCGTGCTGTGCGGGAGGCCAAAAACCACTGCGACCCCAAGGTGCTCTGCATCATCAACCCGGGAAACCCCACAGGTCTGCACTTGACTGCCTTGTCCGTTTCTAGGAAGTGGGTGGCGGCTGCGGTGCGGGACTGCTCAACACTTTGCTAAGAAGTACTGTGCATTGCTCTCTGCTCCCAGGCTCTGAATCCCAAATCTAGATTTGCTAACATTAAGCCATGACAGGGGCCACCGGCCTGTGCTCGGAGATAAGCAAACACAGGCATTGTTTTAGTGTTAAGAAACAGGTTTCATTTCTGTTCTGTTTGCATTTTACTATAAACTCATCACCTTAAGGTTATTCAATACAAGCCACTAATCCTAGACCTAAACACTTCACAGACCTCGTTTCTCCTCCACTCCTACTTGCTTTTCTGAACCAGCTTTTAGAGTCCTGGCATGTGCTTTTGTTGTCCTTTGGCGCAGGATTGCTGTGAGCATTGAGGTTTGATAAATGCTGTATTTAAAAAAACAAAAACCTGTCCAGAAGTTGAAACACCCCCGATTTTGCATATTTAAAAAAAAAAAAAAATGCAGAATCCTGCCTGTTTTGATCTTTCTGGGCTGCTGGCTTCATATGCCTCTAATGCTGTTTGGATGCCGAGAACAAGGGCCCCTCTCTCCTCTTTTGTTGAGATAAATTGGGACCAGGCCAGAATGCACTGGGGTAGGTTGTAGAATCTGCTTCTCGGGAACATCAAATGATGCTTCAATCAGATGAAAGCACCACTTGAATTCCTGAGTACAGAAAATGAGTGCAGCTGACATTAGCACTCGTTTATCCCAACTTCTTGGGGGAGGAATAAGCATTCTAATCATGTTGCAGTAGGAAAAATGGCATATTGCTGGGTTCTTAATTCTGGCTGTGCATTAAAATCATCCAGAGAGCTTTTGAAAGTCCCCAAACCCAAGTCACACCCCAGAATATCTGGGGATAGGACCCAGGCATCGATATTCTGTGCAGCTGAGGTGGGGACCATTGATGTAGAGCCATGGTTCTCAAATTTCAGTTTGTTCAGACACAGAGCCTGCTGTACCCACTTCCTGGTATTCTGCTGCCATTGGTCTGGGGTGGTTAGTTGTTGGTAAGTGCCATCAAGTCAGTTCCAACTCAGAGTGGCTCGTATAGGGTTTCTGAGGAGCAGCTGGTGGGTTTGAACCGCCGACCTTGTGTGAGGCTTTTCAGCGTCTCCCACCTGATCCCTGCTCCTCGACACCACATGTTACCACATGTCTCAGGCATGCACCACTGTTCATGTGCTTGTCTGTTGGTTCACTCCGCGGTGCTGAGTGAATGCTGTGTCTCCTAGGCTTGACTCAAGTTTCCATCAAAGGAATTCATTGCATACATCTGGGTCTCATTGCTTCTACTGGGTAGAAGGGGTTTTGAGGCCCGAGTTCTTGCTCTGGTCCTTTTAGCATTGAGTGTACCTGGTTTTGCATATCCTCAGTGCTCAAATCTTTGCTTGAATTCTCACAGGCTGCAGTCTGTGGGATGACAGGTGAGGGAGGGAAGGGTAAGACCAGGAAGGTTTGCTGGCAAGTTCTGCCCCTGGTAGCCAGTCCTTGCTATCTGTAAGAACAGTGGTGGTTTCTTACAGAAAACAGGACCTGTTTTTCACTCCCAGAACCCCAGCATGCTTCATACGAAGCCCTTTGTTGCTTGCTTGGCAGGGGATAAGTCTATTCCCTTAGTAAAGAAAGTGCCTCGTTGCTCAGATAGTTCGAGACCAAAATCCTGGCTGAATCATACCATAGTCTTACAAGAATATTCGTTTTTCCCAGAGATAGTCTTACATAGACAAGAATGTAGGGATTTTTAATTTAAAGGTAACATGCCCTGCATACTACTTTGCATCAGGATATGTATATATATATAGAGAGAGAGAGAGCGCGCGTGAGAGCGTGCGAGCCGGAGTGACACAAAGTTACGCACTTGGTTGCTAACCACCAGGCTAGCGGTTTCCCCTCTCCTATCCTTGTGGATCTCACATGGTTGATTGTCCTAAGGCGTGTGTACCTCCCTGGTGTCACTGTTCATCTTATGGGCCTGACTGTCACTGGTTTGGAAGCTGAGTTCAGTTCCAGGCTTGAAGGATTCCCAAGGATCATAGTCTCGAGTTCCACCAGCCTGTGTCAAACCAGTAAAGCTGGTCTTGTTTGCTCTTTTGAATTTTGTTCCGTTTTCTTCCCATTCTCTCCAGGACCTCCTCTTATGATCCCTTTTGGCCTGGGCAGCAGTGGGAGTTGAGCACCAGCTACTTCTGGTCTCAGGGTCGTGGACCCTGGGGCTCATTGCTTCATTAGTCCTTTGATTTTCTTCACTCTTCTTTGTTCTGCACAGGGAGAGACCAATAGGTGCACCTTAGATGGCTGTTCCCAAACTTTCATGACCTCACTCACCAAAGTAGGTCGTAGAACACTGTCTTCCTTTGTGTTATGCAAGGTAAACTTGGTGTTCCCTGAGCCTCCAAGCCCAGAAACTCATTCTCTCAAGGAGTTTGGTTAGGGTACAAAGTTTTCATAACTTTGCCCCCTATGTGCTCTGTTATATTCTTGGAAATATTTGCAGCACATATAAATACATACAGGCATGTCAGGATATCTTCTTGGCAAACCTATATGTGTTCACAGAACATCACCTTTTTATGGAAGACGGCAAACCTGACTACAGTGTTGCCTTCCCAGAGTGTACGGTGAGCTCCTCAGGCAATATCAGGTCAGGCTTGTGGTGTTGGTGGTGGTGGTGGTGTGCCGTGGAGTCGGTTCTTACTCATAGTGACTCTGTATAGGATTTCCGAAGCTGTAAATCTTTACGGAAGCAGAAAGCCTCATCTTTCTCCCACGGCACCACTGGTAGTTTCAAACTGCTGACCTTGAGGTTAGCAGTCTGACTTGTAACCACTACGCTACCAGAGCTCCTTACCTTGTAGTAGGTCTCAGGAAATATTAGAAAAGGTCCTGTTTCTACCTTGTTGCATGTGTACCTTTCTCAGACCTATACCCATGACATTTCCTCTAAATAATGAACTGAAATCTCACCACATTCGTTTTTAAATGGGGGGTGGATGTTTCCACTGTGTGTGTGTGTTGATCCAGCCCTGAAGCAGGGATAGAGGGAGGAAAGGCTGTGATCATCTTCAGCAATGACAGGAGGCTCTGCCAAAGCTGTGCCCAGGCTCATTCATTTAGCATCTACTCTGCAAAAGCTTCTGGAGCACCTGCTGTGTGCCACCTTTGAGGCTGGCCAGTGAGCCGGTATGGGCCTCATTGCTGCTCTGTGGAGTCCACTGTGGTCCGTTTCAGCCCATACCCATCAGCTGGCATGGCTTTCCTCATCATTTACTGCTGAAGTATAGGAGAGGGGCTGAGCTGAGCCACTTACCCCTTCACCACGATTTTCCTGCTCTATGAAACTAATGCCTTCCTCTCCTCTAGCATAGACACCCCCACCTTCTCCCCACCTGTAAAAACAACCAAAAACCTGGCTGTAAAACCACTCCTTCCTTCATGTAACCATCTTCAGTGAGCAGGCGAGGTAGGGCCGGCCCTCCATGGGTCCTGGGGTTGACCACACACCATCATGTCCAGTAACTAGGCTGGGTGGTCTCTTGGGTTCTTGAGGGAACACAGGGCATCTGAGTGATTCTGGGTGGGATTCTGACCTCGGGATGATGGAAATGCCATTGCAGCCTAAATGTTGGTTTTGTTGGGGGCATTTTAGGTCAGGTGCAAAGCAGGAAGTGCATCGAAGACGTGATCCACTTTGCTTGGGAAGAGAAGCTCTTTCTCATGGCTGATGAGGTAAGAGTAGCCCAGTCCTCCCCTCAGAGATGGTGGGAGGGAAGCTTGCTCTCTCAAACTTCTCTCAAGGAGTTTGGTTACGGTACAAAGTTTGTCCCCTATGTGCTCTAGTATAGTCTTGGATATATTTGCAGCACATATAAATACATAGGAAGGGTGCTCAGGCCTGATTTTTGTTCTACACCCAACAAGAAAAAGGACTGTGACCAAGGATTAAGATATCTAGTGTTAGGAACTAAGAGACTGTGGCTTAAATCATCCATATTTTGCTTTGGACTCTTGGTTATAAATTTCAGAAACTTGACCCAAACTACTTTAAAAGTAAAAAGAAAATTGAAAGACAGTTGGAGGTTGGGGGGTGGGCCGTAGTTGAGGGACTGGATCCAGGGTCTCAAACCATATATTTGAGATTCTCTCTCTCATTCCATGCAGTGGCCACATGCACACACAACAGCCTGTTCCCAGCCTAGAATTCCTAGCCTAGAAAATGGATTTCTCTTCTTGGTGGTTTCAGCTAAAGTTTGAATTGAGTCTCATTGTTGCAGCTTAGCCACATACCCATTGCTGAGCCAATCACTTTGGCTGATGGGATGCAAAATGCAAATTGGCCAGGCCTGAAGCGAGGGGTGGGTTCTCTGCTCTGTCCTCCTAAACCTCCAGGTGGAGAGGAGGGGAAGGGTGTTCTTTGAGGGCAAATTCAAGGTCTTCTCCCGAAGAAGGGAGACTCCGTGAGTTGACAGGACTGGTCCTCACATCTCTTATGGGCTCCAGTTCTAGGCACCTGATGCTTCCTTATCCACCCTCTCACTTATTCTGCAACACCCCATGGGGAGGGGGTCTTAATGCCCTTTTCACAAATGAGAAAATCCCCAAAGGTTGATGAACCCCAGATCTGGAGCCAAGGCCTGCCCATGCTTTTCCTTCTCTACAAAGAAGAAATTGAGGCTGTGTCAAATACTGATTTCACCTCATCTTCCTTTCTGCACACACCACACACCACACACACATACACACACACCCTTATCCACCAAATAGTGGTATTAATTAGTAGTAGGTGGGCCTTGACTTTTCATTTCTAAAGACAAGAAGGACCAGGAAAGTGAACCCAGGGGCTCCCTCCAGGACGTGGTGTACAAGCCCCTCCCCTCTGGGTCTGGAAAGAGGAAGGGAAGCCGAAGGACCCTGCCTGCCCTCCCACTGACCTGAAGCACCCCAGAAAGCCTTGGTTTCTCTGCTCTCCAACATAAGGGTGGGAAGATCATCTCCAGCTTGGGGCAGGGGAGAAGAAGACCAATATAGGTGCTGCTCTGTGTGTTTAGAATCTAGTGGGAAGACCAGCAGTGGAGTGTGAACAGAAACACAAAATCTTCCCCACTTGTACACACTGGAAAGGAAACACAAAAGGGCTGAAGAGAGAACTCTTCAAATAGCAGCTCAGAAAATGGCTAATTAATTATAAATGTTAGCAAACATTGCCCTTTGGGAAGACCATTTGCTGAGGAAGATGGGAGTCTTTGATAATGTCACTACTGGGTCTTCTGAGGGAGAAAGGAAGTTTGGAAATTGGGTGGAGGTGCCTTAAGCACAGCATCTAGTCCCAGGCTTTCCTCCTTGTTCTGGAAGATTCCCCTAGGCATGTTCTGGCTCATTCCCAGAAATGGCATTAGAGTTGGGGACAGGGCCCCTGAACACGTCTCCCCAGCAAGAACTCAAGGTGACTTGACTGTCATGTCGCCCCCTGCAGGTGTACCAGGACAATGTGTATTCTCCGGACTGCAGGTTCCACTCCTTCAAGAAGGTGCTTTACGAGATGGGGCCTGAGTATTCCAACAATGTGGAGCTGGCCTCGTTCCACTCCACCTCCAAGGGCTATATGGGCGAGTATGTGGACCACCTGCTTCCTTCCTCATCCCTCTCTCTGCCCCTGGGCTTCCAGCGCCGCTGTCTCCCCACTGACTGCCCCTCACCTGTCCTGCCATCAACCCTCCTGGCCCTCACCTATAGCTTCTGTTGATCTAATAAGCAGGAGAGGACTAGCTGCACCTTCCCAAAGGGGTCTTATTGTTAAGTGCCATCGAATCGGTTCTGTCCCATAGCAACCCTGTGTAGGGTTTCCAAGGAGCAGCTAGTAAGCTTGCAATACTGACCTTGTGGTTCAAACTAATCTTACAGTTCAGTGCATTAGCCCACAGCGCCACACCAGGACTCCTAGAGGAGGGAAACAGCCCTTGTCACTTGCTGTGACATTGTCTGGTTGCTCAGTCAGCGAGGAAGGGCAGGTTGCAGGGACAGACTAGTGGTGACTCGGGCCAGAGCCCACTTCCCTCTGTGCTCATTCATCTAGCTAGTACTTAACCAAGCATCTACTAGCTAGTACTTAACCAAGCATCTACTGAGTGGAGTACTGATTTTAGCATTGGGGATACAGCAGTGAATTAAAGCATGTCATCCCTACTTTTATGCAGCATGAGGAGAGCGAGCCAATAGACAAATCAGTAAAATCATGTATCCACTGGAGAAAAATAATCAGGGAGGAGGTGGAGGTGAAGGTTACTAGCTTAAATAATGCAGCCTTGACAAATGGACTTTTGAGCTAAGACGGGATGGAGAGGCAGGAGGGAGTCATACAGGTTTCTGAAGATGAGCATTCCAGGCAGAGGGGACAGTGCATGCAAAGGCCCTGAGGTGGGCTGAAAGGAGGGAGGGAGGAAGTGGCAGAAGTTCAGACCAAAGACATAATAGGAGGCCAGATCATCTGGGTGACTTAGATTAGTTTTACTTTTACTCAGACTCAGGTGGGAACCACTGGAGGATTTTGAGCAGAGGCGTGACCCACCTCTGGCTGCTGTGTGGTGAGGGCGGGGCAGAAACGGGACTCAGGTCTGGAAGTGGTGTCTTATGTGTCCCTAGTGAGATGGTATCATGAACCAGCATGGAGGTGGTGAGAAGTTGTTGGGTCCTGGAGCTGACAGCAGTTAGTGATGGAATAGATGTGGAGAGTAAGAGAGAGAACTGAAGGATAAATCTGAGGTGGGAGAGGCTGTTGGTAAAGCAGGTTTGGAACGATGACCAGGAGTTTGGTCTTGGACACGTTAGCTTGCAGACACCTTTTTGATGTCCAGACAGAGATGGACCTGTGATGTCAGAGCTGGCATCAGCTGAGGTTTGGATTTGGGAGATGCCAGCATTCACGGTGGTGGTTAGAGCCCTACACCTGGGGGTGGGAGTAAGTGTAGATAGAGAAGGGGCCTCCACTGCTCAGAGGTTGGAAGAAATGAGGGGGAATCAGCAAAGAACGCAGAAAGAGAGGCTCAGGGTTCCCCAGCGGAGACACTTAGTCCTCAACATTCTAGGGGTTCTGCTATGAGCAGATATTCGTGCAAGAGGTAGCAGGTGTTGACATCTACAGGGAGGAGTTTTGCTGGCTAAGCTTGAGGAAATATTTGGTTGCCAAACTCTGCCTGGCTTTCCTTGCTGTGTGTGGGGTTCGTTTATGCTGGTCTTGGGGATGCTCAGTGCTGGCTCCTTGTTAGACTTTCATGTGCTTCTTACCTCTTTTCTTAGGAAAGTAAATTCTCTTCTTGTTAAGTGTCATCGAGTCAATTCTGACTTATGATGACCCTGTTTCCAAGGGGTGGCTGGTGAGCTTAAACCACCAACCTTGCACTTCAAACCAACCTTGCAATCCAGAGCATTAACCCACAGCACCACACCAGGACTCCAAATATATTCTCTCGTAGCTCCTTTTTCAGACCACACGCATGTCTGTCAGGTACCTGTTGAGCTCACCTCCCTGTGGTTGGTTCCTTTCTGACAGTCAGCTGGTGTCCCGAGCTAGCCTTGCTGCGTCTTTCTGGTGGGTACTTGGGACGAGGCTGCACTGTTCAATCTGAGTTTATGCTATCAGCAGCAGATGAAGCAGAAAGTTCTGTCTTTTGACCGTTGTCATGGGAAACCTGCTGAGGTGCCTCAGTGTCTTCCCTCAGGAATCCAGCCGGCTCCCTGTGCGTTCAGCTGCCAGCCACCATACAGGAGCAGGGCTGGGGTCTGATTTTGTTCTGAAAGGCGATTGTTTTGGTAACTCATTGACCTCAATTTTATTCCATGTGATTTGACTCTGGATTAATCAGTATTCTTTTGCATATTAGTAACAGAAACTCAAGTTGAGTTGTGTTGTGTGCTGTCGAGTTGGTTCTGACTCATAGACACCCCGGATAAGGTTTCTTTACAGAAGTAGAAAGCCTCATCTTTCCCCCATGGAGCAGCTGGTGGATTCAAACTGCTGACCTGGCTAGCAGCCCAACAAATAATCCACTGTGCCACCAGGCTCCTTATTGTACATGAAAGTGTTTTCATTTGTCTGTTTTTTAAAGCTTTTATTGTGAATTGAGTGAGTGAAGGTTCACAGGGCAGATCGTGGGTTTTACAGTCAGCAAATCATTGTAAAGATTACAATCCCCTCCATGCACCATCAACTAACAGTATGTACCTCTCTTACCATTTTCTTTTGTTTTTTCATGTACTCACACTACGTTGAAAATACAGACTCATTTAAATGTCCAAAGGGCACATTTTGCCAGGTAGCTTCCTGACCCCAGGCTCACTGCCTTTCTCAGTCCCTGGGCCTCGAGTCCTCTGCTGCTTTGTCTGTCTGTGCCATCACCTCTGCCACCATCTCTTGTCGTCACTATTCTGGTTAGGAACCCTCGCTCCTCTCATGTTCTTCCCTCTTGATGGTCCTGTGTTCCTGAAATGACAGATTAACTGCTCCCCATTTTCAGTTGCACCTCTTCTACATTTACAGTTGTGACCATCGCCTTTAGACCTGATAACAATTACTCACAACTGAATCATAAAATCCTCTCCCCCTCATCACCAGACCCATCTGGACAAGAGGAAAACTATTCACTAGGGTTTCTGTCTTACTCCGCTCATTCTGACACTGAGCACCCTCATGAAAGCTTGTAAGCCAACCATTTCGTGCCTTTATAGCGCCCCCCCCCCCAATTTTGATAGCCAAAGTCTAAATTTCCCATACCTATCAACCCAGTGTACTGAAGAGGCACACTTGGTGCATGACATGAAGAATCTTTCCCTTTCAGTAGGAATTCTGGGCAACTTCATCTATAAACAAAGGTCTGTTCGTCTGTCTGTTAAGTATCGTTGAGTCAGTTTCCACTTACAGAGACCTTGTATAGGGTTTGAACTGCTGACCTCGTGGTTAACAGTCCAGTGCTTATTCTACAGTGCCCAGGGGTATGGTCTTTGTATCAGTCTCTTGCTCAGCTTGGTTCCCCTTTGGGTTGACTGCGTTTTCAGGCAACAAAACTTGTTCCAGAAAAAGTCCTCAGGCAGATCCCATTAGTGAATCTGTACCCACCCCTTGAGCCTGTGCAGGGTAACTAAGAGGCCCCCAAATCAGAGTGGCTCGAACACTGTGGAAGTGCATCTCTCACTGATACAACAGTGTAGGGTTGGGATAGGCCAGGGCAGGCTCTGTCCACGAGGTCATTCTAGAACCGGGTGGGTGGGGGCTGTGGTGTGTGTCTCTAGTGCGGAGGTTGCTGCCACTGTCTCCATTTCTCAGGAAGTGGGAAAAGGAAAGGGGAGAGCATGCTGTTACTTCCTAGGAAACGATAGAGAATTTGTACATGCCGCTGCTGCTCACCTGGCCACTGCTGGGCGGGGATGCTCGTCGAGGTTCTGGCTGGCTGGTTGCACTTAGCTGAGATCATTTGGTAACGTGGGCCCTCTCGCCCTGTCTTCATCCTCCAGGTGTGGCTACAGGGGAGGCTACATGGAGGTGATCAACCTGCACCCTGAGATCAAGGGCCAGCTGGTAAAGCTGCTCTCGGTGCGCCTGTGCCCACCAGTGTCAGGGCAGGCCGCCATGGACATCCTTGTGAAGCCCCCAGTGCCGGGAGAGGAATCCTTCCAGCAGTTCAGCAGAGTGAGTCCATTGTGCAGAAGCCAGGCCAGTCCTCCACCTCTGGCCAGGTGCTGGCCTCCTAGGGGTGTGGCCTCCAGAGGGCGCTCAGGGTACCTGCATCACCTCCGGGGGAGGGTATGCCCAGGGGTGTGTTCTGAAGTGGGAGACTCACCTCCTTTTTCTCACCTGTGGGCATCTGGGGTGGGGAGGGTGTCCTGTTAGGGGAAGTGAACTGTGGGCACAGCCCTGCCTGTGACTAATCCAGAAGTCCTCAGAACTAAATGAGGTCCTTTTTTATTCAAATGACAAAGATACAACTCTGACCAGTCTTAACAACAGAGATTATGGATCACAGAACCAGAAAACAACTCCCAAGTGTTCCAGGTTCACATCTTTGTCTGACAGAACCTGCTAATGTCCAGCCCTGAACTATTACTGATGCTATTTGATGTTGCCTGGGTCATGTGCCCTACATGGACAGAGAGTGGGGGGAGGTCCCCTGAAATGGGCCCTGCACACACCACACAAAAAGAAAGGGCATAAACAAGTTTTAGAATGTTCTAGAAAGAGCCTTTGCACACACCATACAAAGGCCAGGACTAAATCCACTCAGACTTGACATCTTGGTATGAGAGTAGATCCAGGCTACCCAGGGTGACCCCTGCCTGGAATGCCCATGCCTTGCAGTGTCCCACTGTCATGCCCCGTGCCCCAACCAGCCACCTGGGCTGGGTGTCTGGAGGAAGTTCCTTCAGGTCACACATTTACCACCTCTCCCTCGTTTGCCCTTCTCCCATTTCTGCAGCCACCCTGGCTGTCAAAGGGACACTTCCCAGTGGCTGTGGCTGTTCTTTGTCACTCGGAGATCCTGACTCCTGTGCTTTTCTGTGTGTCATCAGGAGAAGGAGTCCGTCCTGGGTAATCTGGCCAAAAAAGCGAAGCTGACAGAAGACCTGTTTAACCAAGTCCCAGGAATTCACTGCAACCCTTTGCAAGGAGCCATGTATGCCTTTCCTCGGATCTTCATCCCGGACAAAGCCGTCGAGGCAGCTCAGGTCTGGGACCTCTGGGCCCATATGGGTTGCCGGGTTGGGGGCCGTTTTTTGTGCCTTAAGGTGCAGAGGTGCTGGCACTGAGCTTGGGGCACCTGGGCTGTGGTGAGCACAGTTCCCTGGGTGATGTAGTTGTGAGGTACAGGTGAGGTGGGCGCCTGAAGGGCGCCGTGCAGGTGAATATGGCTGCCTGGCACGCAGCGAGAACCGGCTCCTCCTGAACCTTCGTCCCAGAGCAGCTCTTCTCACACCTGAGGGTGTGACAATAGCAGGCCTTTTCAAATACTGCCTCTAGTTCCGTTAAGATTCCTGTCTTCCTAGAACAAGGGCGACAGCAGCGTCTCTGAGAGTGTTATCCTCACGCTGTCCCCCAGTGCCTCTGAGCACATTGTGAAAATGAAGGAAATCCCTGTATTGGAGCCTGAGGATCTGTATTTTACCAACTCACCACCTCCTTCTCCATCAGCGCTTGCTGTCAAGTCGTCTCTGACACTTGGTGGTAACTCCATGTGTGTCAGAGTAGAAGTGGGCTCTGTGAGGGTTTTGGCTGCAGGTTTTTTTTTGGGGGGGTGGGGTAGATTGCCAGGACTTTCTTCTGAGGCACTCTAGGTAGACTCACACCTTCAACCTTTTGTGAACAGCCTAGCGTGTTAACTTTTGCAGTTGTTATGTTTGAGAAGTACTGTCTCCCAGGACCCCAGAGGAGCTGGGTTTCCTGAAAGCCCCCATTGGGGGCAAATGTCAGGGCTCCATTTTCCGAGTATTATCAGGAGGTAAGGAACTTGCTGACTAGGATGGGGACTAAGGAAGCAGACTGTTACTCCCCAGTGAAGAGCAGAAGAGCCACACCCAGGGCTGTCCCCAGGCAGCCTCGGGGGTCTTGTGCCCACACAGTCTCTGGCAGGGTCTAACTGTAGCTATGGCTTCGTGGTCCTTGAAGGAAGTAGGGGGAGAGGTAGAGATGAGAGCCCCTGTGAGGGCAAAGAGCCTGCCATTCAAATTGTGTTTGACTTGGAGTTTGTAATGGTGTGTGCTGTGCACTGTAAAGCCAGGAATGAATCCTGAGATCTGTCCTGCTCTTGCAGGTCCACAAGATGGCCCCAGACATGTTCTACTGCATGAAGCTGCTGGAGGAGACTGGCATCTGTGTCGTGCCTGGCAGCGGCTTTGGGCAAAGAGAAGGCACTTACCACTTTAGGTACAGCTTCCATTCTGCACCTGGGCAGGGAGAACAAGGGAGGCAGTCCTCACACTGGGCGTCTTAGCATTGAGCACAAAGCTGGCTGAAGGTTGAGCTGTGTGGAGCCCCTATCCTCAGCCCACTCCCATTCTGAGCTGAGCTCACACTCCCTGCCCAGAGAGTCATCCCCTCCCAGGCTTCTCTAGGTTGGTCTGTCTCTCCATCCCCCAGCCCCATGCATCACATCCCCCTGTGGAATGGTCTCTCCTTTACTTTGATGCCCCTTTTCAACCCCATGAGAGCGGCGCTGGAGCCCTGGCTACACTGTGACCCTGCCCTGCGCCCTGCAGGGCCCCGAGGCCCACGGAAGTGCTGCATCTGACACGTGGTGGGATTCGCTCCACTGTTGCTGCGCTCTTCACAGAGTTCCTTGCCTTCTGTTGGACTCCTGCACTAAGCCCCCTGCATAGAGGGGAATGCCTACTCCCAGAACGGGGCAGGCAGGAGCTGTTCAACAAGTGTTTCGCCACATCAGCCATTTCTATTGAGAACAGCAACTTCTCTACACACCTCTCAGACGTCTCCTGAAACAGATGCGTAAAAAAAGTGTCATAAGCTTAGTCAGCGACCTGGATTCCCAGCTCGTCCACAGGGTCCCCCAGACAGACAGACTTGAGACAGAGCTTTCCAGCTTTAGTCCGACTCACCTCAGCTCATTCCAAAAGTTGTGTAACAAGGGCCAGGGGTTGCCCAGGGGTTGGAGCTACCTCAGTGGACATCACAGGGTCCTCTCTATAAACCAAAGAACAAACTGCTGGGTTCATTCCTTTCCCTTTTTCCAGAATAACTTGCATCCAGGCTAACAAGTTTTCTGTTTCCTGACAGAATGACCATTCTGCCTCCAGTGGAGAAGCTGAAGACAGTTTTACAGAAGGTGAAAGACTTTCACATGAAGTTTCTGGAGAAGTACGCATGAGGAGCGCCCAGGGCCCCAGGGGAAGACCTCACTCTCGGCCTTCCTTCTGTGGCCACCTCAGCCAGACTAAACCCTCCTCCCCCAGCGACTCTGCCTCAGGCCTCACAGGGACGTCCTTCTTTGTGCCTTGTGATTGGGAACACTTCTCTTCCGATCAAATGTGAGCATGTGGTGTCTCAGTGGCCCTGTTTTTGATGTAACCAAAGTAGAGGGAGACTCACTCAGCAGATGTTCTCAGAGTTCTGGGGTCTTCAGAGTTTGCCGCTGTCAGTCGGCTTAGTGCTTCAACACCCAAGGTGTGCTTGGTGAGGTGTTTCAGATCTGGAGAAACCAACAGGTGTTGGGAAACATATGATTTAACTTTGGTGAGGACCAGAAATCCCAAACTCACTAACGTCATCTAGGAAATAAAACCCTTAGTCATGTGAAAATCCAGTCCTTCCACCAGGGAGTTGTCCATCGGAGGCTCAGACAGGGCCTACCATTCAGGGCTGGAGGCAGGCAGGGCACTAGGATATGGGCTTGGACAGGATGCCCGGCTAGTATGTGGCAGGCACTGAGGGCTTAGGCCAATATCAGAGTTCTGCAGGGAGTGAGCCAGACTCCAAGTTGAACCCTGTCTCTCCTTTGGAGCTCTGCAGCAGGTCGGGAGGACCTTGCACACACAAGGGGCTTTGGGTGTAGAGTTCGCTGGAACATGCTTAGGCTGGGACTGCTGTCTGAGTAGTCTCTCTGGACATAGAAATATCCCAGTTATGTGGAAGGATTCTACCTGGGGAGAATCCTCAGGGCTTTACTGAGTTTTTACGAGCATCGTAAAAAGACTTGAAATGGCATTTGTCAAATTGTCTCAGACTGAATTTAGTCCATTCACTCTTAATTGGTCGAAGTACCTGATAGCTTGGCTGCTGCAAATCTGATTCAGAGTTTATGGAAGTGTTTTACCTCTCCATTTGCTGCTAGATTCTGAGCGTTGTCTTGTCTCCAGGCCAGGGAGCTGGCCACGCAGGAAACCTGGTGGGGGTCTGACCCAGACTCCAGGAAAGTAGCAATGAGCTACTGAGCTAGCAGCTCAGTAGCTTTTTCCCCTTTTGCAAAGAGCCCCCTGGCTTTCCCATTGGCCTTCCCCAGTGAGCAGTTAAGAAAGCCAATCCCAGCTAAGGAGTCTGGAGACCCAGCAAGTGCTAAAAGGGAAGTGAAGAACTGGAGAGAGCTATCTGAAGAAGCTAAAGGAATAAGGTATGATAACAGCTGTGATGTTGGAATTCTCACACTGGGTCCATGCAAGAAAGAAAATGCACTCGAAATCTTCAAATTCTCATTCCTCACTAGCATTGTAATCCTATGAAGAAAGTAGCCACAATTTCAGATAATTAAAGGGAATATTGTGGAACTTTCTTCTTAAAAAAGACAAGGTTGCACTTCTACTTGTTGCTTGGAGCGTCAATGAGGATGCGTCCCAGAGTCACGCTTAAGAAGAGTAGCAGGCACCCAGTATGTTCTATGTGAGGAAAGGTTAAATGGGAGACGCTAGTCTATTTTTTATATTTTTGTAACAATTGCTTTTTCATAGGGAGAGGAGGGATTAGTATTTGTAGTCTTAATGAGTCTAGTAGTTTTTTAAATAAATCTCTTCAGATTACAGATAACCCCTAAGCATTTTGCAATGTTTACATGATTTTTTTAAAGATGCTGTATACACTTGATGGCTTTAAAACAAAAGAAAGGTCAACTTGTCAATGAGGTTGACTTCAGGTTGGAACACTGATCTTGATAAATTAGATTTTCTATATACAGATTCTATTCCGGTGCCTTGTCTGTTGGGGCACCACCAGAGAAAGTCAGTTGTCCCTTGGGGTCATGTGTGAATCCACACCTGTGACATTTTCTGCCATTCTTGTGGGTCTGGGTGTGGATGTGCCTCTCGGGCGGGCTAGGCGACTGCCCCCATATTGTGTGACACTTGTCAGAAGAGCAGACACAGACCTGCCTGACTTTGTTACCCTGTCTGGCTTCTCACGGGCGTCTCCTGACAAAGGTACCTAATGATAACTCTACGGGAAATTTCTAAACAATAAAATGCGTGTTGCTTCACTGTCTTAGTAGGAGTTTGTCAGGGGCCTCACATTGTACATGTTCATTCTTTTTGGGGGTAAGTTTTGTTCTAACACAGCATCAAAAACCAGTTGCCTCGTCGATTCTAACTCATGATGACATCATATGAGTCAGAGTAGAACTAGGCTCCACAGGGTTTTCCGTGACTGCTTTTTCAGAAGGAGATCCCCAGGCTTTTTTCCCAATCATCTTTGGGCGGACTTGAACCTGTCTTTCTGTTAGCAACCAGCTGCACTAACCGTTCACACTACCCAGGTATCCCCTAGCACCTTCACAGAGCATTTTTCTCCAAATTCTGTAAACCCCAGTTATGGTTTCTCAGCTTTCATTTTTCCTTAGGTGTCAATCCTGAGGACCTTGAGGTGTTTTTTTTTGGTTTTGTTTTGTGTTTTACCTGAGATGGGGAGACTCCTTGCTTTCTTTAAAATAAAGAGGTGATGTTTAAATGAGTCTGGAGTCCTGGTGTGGTGCCGTAGGATCAGTACTGAACTTGCTAACCGCACAGTCCATGGTTCAAACCCACCCAACAGTGCCTTGGAAGCTAGACCGGGTCCCTATGAGTCAGAACTGACTCGACAGCACTTGATAATAAAATGAGCACAGACCTTGGCTTTGTGGCAGAAGTAGAATAAGAACCAACAGTTTATTTAGGGTCCCTGGGTGGATAAAAAGAACCCTGGTGGTGCAGTGCTTGTGCATTAGGCTGTTAACCAAAAAGTTTGGCATTTCAAATCCACCAACCACCCCATGGACTAAAGACGTGGCGATAGGACAGTTCTGCTCTGTGCTGTCTGTGAATCCGAATGTACTCGATGGCAATGTACCCACAATGGGTGGGTAGTGCTAACAGTTTGCACTCAACTATTCATCTAAAGGCTGGCAGTTCAAACCTACCCAGCAGTGCCCTAGAGGAAAAGCCTGGCAACCTACTTCCGTAAGGATTATAGCCAAGAATCCCCTCTGGAGCAGTTCTACTCCAGCCTGTGTGGCACCATGAGTCAGAACCAACTCAACAGCAACAGGGTTTTGGTTTCCTTATAGAGGTGGGGTGCGTGGTACAATGCTAACCAGAAGTTTGATGGTTTCAAACCCACCCAGCAGTTCCATAAGAGAAAACCCTGGAGATCTGTTTCCACAAAGATTTCAGCCATGAAAACCCTTCAGGGAAGTTCTGCTCTGTTGCAAGGGCGCTATAACTTGGAATCCACTTGCTGGCCCCCAACAACAAAGCGAGCACTGGGGAAATTGTCGGGACAAGGATTGCATTCATATCCTCCAGGCTTTTCCATTTCATATTCTGTGTTGCTCAATTTTGATGTATGGTTTTGGAGTTCAAAATTTGTTTTCTTTCTACAAACGAAAATATCCAAGTCCTTACTGAAGAAATTTTGGAAAGTAAAAAAAGAAGAAAATTAGAACTGTTAGAAGAGAGAAACCCACTTCAAGTAGCTTAAGCAGAAAAGAGGAATTTATTCCTTTGTGTAAGTGGAATGTCCTAGAAGAAAGCTGGCTTGGGCTCTTGTGTTTATGCTCTTATAAAGGCCTGTTTGGTCCAGCTGTACATTGAAAAATCCTAAGGAAGGAATCTGCTTGGCTGCCTTGGTCCCTATTGCCCTCTCTTCCCTGAACCAATCTCAGTGACCCATGAGAACAGGATGCTTTGGGATCACTAGCCCCATTCGAGCCATCACACTGGAGAGGAGAAGCTGCTCCCGGAGAAAGCTGGTTGGAGGTGATGCTGCACCAGCAAACCTCAAGGCATTTCAGAGAGGGGCTGGAGGAGGGAGTGCTATGTGTTAAATGGGTGGAAGTTCATCATTGGTTGATAACCAGATAAATTGGAGACACTCTTCCCACGCTGTACATACAAACATGCACACCTGGGAACCTGTGGAATAAAGCTGAGGTCGTTTATTATACTAAGTTGGTACTAATTATTCTAAACATTCTATGAAATAAAGGTTGGAAAAATGGTTTTTATTCAAAATTATTTCCAGTATAGTGTTTGCTGTAAACACAATAAGAAAGCAATCAGCAAAGGTTCAATAAGGGCCCAGGACAAGCCAGGGACTTCTAGGAAATGGAGAGTCAAAAGTTAATAAAGCGTGGCCACCCCGCTCAAGAAAGCAGGCACTCGAATGGCCACCAAACAATACAGAATTCAATTCAACTCTCTAGCCACACAGTGGTACTGAGCTTAAATGAAGTGTGGATGGTGGAAAAGTTTGGCAACAGATAGGAATGATGGCTGAACAACATGAGTGTCACCAAGTTGTACGTGTGAAGACTTGAAATGGGATACCAGGTGGAGTAGCCCATGGTATACACTTTGACTCCAGCACATGGCCGGATCTTAGCTGACTTACTTGACTTTACTGAGACACGCAGTGTTCTTATCTGTAAAATGGGGCTAATACTACCCATTCGTAAGGTAATAGTTTAATTGTAAGAATGAAATGAGATGGGAAGTGTGTGTGTGTGTGTGTGTGTGTGCATGTAACTTAGCAGAATTTCTGGTAAGTATAGTTACATTTATTAAGCACTTTGTGATTATCGGTGTTGATATATGGTAGGAATTCAACAAATGAAATTCAAAGGAAGACGGTGCCCCAGGTATGCCAGCTACAACACGAAAACATTGTTTAGAGGCAGTGAGGGCTACTTCCCAACACCTCAACCATTTCCAAATGCTCATATTGTGTTAGCATAAGTACACAGGTCAGGCTTTTTGCTGTTTGGGGGTCAGTGGTGATTTTTTTTTTTTTTCCTTAGCCACAGTTTCTGAAATAAAATGCATTGGTTCTAGTTACACTGTGGTTGTAAAAGTTATTTTTTTAAATTGGCTTCTAGATTCTTTCAGTCCTTTCTGCAACCTGTTGTCAAGG